GTTCCATTTCTTCCTTAACAATATCGAATTTTCCTACATTCATGGTTCTCTATGTTTTTAAATGTGGAAACGTCCACAGACCTATAAAGCAAACATGGTCTGATTAATAATTATTTTATTGGTCTCATGATAACAAAATATACCCCAATTCTGTTTAGCTTTCATCAGTCTGATGCTTTTTATAGCCCAGGAAGAATTTTGTTACTGGAACAGTGCTGCTGATTAAGTTGCTGGATGGTGCTCAGATGTTAAGTGAAAAACTTGAAGTTTGAGTTCAACCAGAGGCACTGGCTAAAAAAAAAAACCCAACCTGGTGATCTATTTCTCAAAGTTGTTGTTGTAACATGCCGTGTAGGAGTAACTCACTGCTGATCCTCTAGTGGGTTTTTCAGGGGTTATAAATAGCAAAGTAGCAGATTGTCCATCTGGTGGATTCAAACCACATGCCTCCGGCTTAGCAGTACAACTCCTTACCCATTAGGCCAGGAGTGTCCTTCCAAAACAAAAGCTACTGGAAACCTTTTAGAGCCCATGTCTACTCTGACACTCAGGGGTTCATCTGATATCAGCTGGTCCAACAAGCTGTTAGAGACACATTACTATAAACAGTGACATTTAGTGAAACAAGATTAGAGTTCAAGCATGTGGCCCAACTCCATACTCCCCGCAGAAATTTCCTAACACTTTCTAAAATCACTATGACAAGAAAGAAAAAAAAAGCGAAACCATGTTATTGCCTAGTCAGCGAGCAAAATTTCAACTTGGTTCAGGAAACCACATCACACCATTCGTCATAATGTTCCAGATTATATATTAGTGGCTTTGCCTTTTTTTCCTCTATCATATACAGCACAAAAAAAATTCTCCAGCACAGCCCTGTGTATGCATAGTCATTCGTTTGCATTGCCACTGAATGGGAACTGACTCAGTAGACACTCCAGCTTGTTTTCGGAGGCTGGACACTGGCCTGGAGGAGACTCTCCCGGTTCCTTCCGAGGAGAACCTGGTAGATTCCAACTGACTACCTTTGGGCTCGATCTGAAATGCCAGAGAGCCTCTGCTTTTGAGTTCGCAGCTAGGTACTCTGAGCGAGAAGAGACTATGTCTACCCACGTGGTTTACAGCCTCTGAAACCTACTGCAGGGGTCAGGTTGTGAGTCCGTTTCAACGCTACAGCACCAGTAAGAAAGAATATTTATAGGAGGGAAAAGTATGTCACCCTCAAACACTCTCTCAAGGCAGGATTTCTTTGGCTTGGTACCACTGTCATTCTGTGAACGTTGTGTGGACTGTTAGTGGCATAACTGGCTTTTACCTACCAGATGCCAGATGTCCTCCCTCCCAGTGGGACAATCGACGTCTCCACACACTGCCAAATGTCCACTCGGGCAATGGAGAGAGCAATACGGCAGGACTCTGTGGGCCAAAGTCTGAACAATGTCAGGATAATATCGAGGCAGACATTTCTGTCCTTGTAAATGTCAAATAGTGTGGGAAAATCCTGCTACCAAGTCTGGGTTACAAACCAGACACGGGATAAGGAGAGGCCCTGGGGACATCAAAAGGTCCCAGTTCAAACTCACCAAGCACCAGGGAGGACAGACCCAGTTATTTCTAACTATAACTCATTTTTAAAGACGAAATATAAAAAAATACTGCCAAATGATTCAAATAATTTATTTAGAAGAAAGCTTCACACAGAACTAACCCTCCTAATCCACAGGCAGATTTTCTCCAAACAAGATTTCTGGTCTAGCACATCAAACTCATTTTCTAGCAAGTGTCTGCAAAGTCTGAAACAGCCATCCTCTCATCCTAAATACAGGGCCAAATAATAATCTGGCTATTAAAAAGTTAAGGAATTTCTTAAAAAACAACATTTAAAAATGAACCAGAACTCAAAAATTTAACTTAAAACTAACTTATTATTTATATTTGTAAAGTTCTGGTAAGAACATTAAGCAACTCACTTACTGCCATCAAGTCGGAACCGATTCCTAGCTGACACTCCAGTGAGTTTTCA